GGGGGGGCTTTTGAGGCCCGCACCAACTTTTATCTCACATAGCACCGGAACGGCTTGCGCTAGAACCATACAATTTTGTGACTTTTCCTAAACTTTGCCTCTTCGGCAGTTTTTAAAAGATCCAATTATTTTGGTTGAAATATTGACATTTTCTGTTTTCTTTTTGGTTTGAATATACTTTCTTTCTAACATTAACAACATCTTATATAATTGTATATAATTTCTATCATTAAATGTTCATAATTTAGGCTAATTTGATGACGTCCTTGGTCAAAATCCAAGATGCCGGAAAATATTATTAGCTCTGGAGAAACAACGTTTCTTTACTTATTTTTCATCACAACTCCTTATTTTTTTACATAAAACATTTATATGAGCATTGCGTTTTGAGGCTGTATCTTGAAAAAACTGTATTTCAAAAATTCAAGATTTGCGATGAAAGGTGGCCGAAATCTTAAATATGCCACAAATTTTATGTCATTTTATAACGTCATTATGACGTCAGCGTTGTTACAAATGTCAAGTCTTAGTAGACATAAATATTATCTTAAAATAGACACTTTTTGTTGCAGTTCAGTTGTATTTATCCGAGTTTAATGGGAAAATCCCATTTTAACGCTATTAAGCAAAAAAATTACATGACATCATGATGACATAATGATGACGTCATAATTACACGAAATTGCCCGAAAAATCCCGGTCGTCTGAATAGGGTTAAATGTTCCATAGCCTTTGCACACATTCACATTAAAACAGCACAACTCTTTCCGGTTAGATAATGTAAACTAACTTAGCTATATAAGTTGATGTATACGTGCCAATTATAAGAATATGAGATTAACACACATTCTTGGTCAAAATTACTATAACTAAACAAAAGCTATTTGTCATCCTATCTCAGAACTCTTCACAGATCAAGAAAAAAGTAGTCTACATGTAACAGCTGGACAATTTCTCTTTTCCAGTTTTCCCCATTGGTCTTAAGACTTACCCTATCTAAAAGCCACTGATTAGTTGGGCAGCTCCGCCTGTGTATAAATGTCCTCCGAGCTGAATGGATAACAGATGAATGTATGAATAGATAAAAGTAAATGCAGTTGTTACAGTCAAGTTGTGTTTCGGTCTGTTTACACAAGAAACCCATACTTACAAAGTGTCACGGACAGGTCATTTCTTTGAAGACTTTGATGAACAAAGAGTTTACAGATTAGATATGAAATCTAAGATATGAGGTGCAAGATACAGCCAAGAGAGGGCGACTCACTATCTATAAGTAGATCTGGGATCATCCCCAAGGGCACATTTAAAACAACACAAGTCTTTCCTGGTTAGATATGTAAATTAATTAAGATATATAAGTTTTATGTTTTAACCATATCCAGACGGGGGGGGGGGGGGCTTTTGAGGCCCGCACCAATTTTTATCTCATAAAGCACCGGAACGGTTTGCCCTAGAACCATAAAATTTTGTGACTTTTCCTAAACTTTGCCTCTAAGGCAGTTTTTGAAACATCCAATTATTTTGGCTGAAACATTAATTTTTTTTTTGGTTTGACTATACTTTCTTTCTAACATTAACAACATCTCATATAATTGTATATAATTTCTATCAATAAATGTTCATAATTTATGCTAATTTAATGACGTCATTGGTCAATGCCGGAAGATGCCGAAAGATGCCGGAAAATATTAGTAGCTCTGGAGAAACAACGTTTTTATTTTTACTAATTTTTCATCGCAACTCCGTATTTTTTCACAAAAAAAAATTCATATGAGCATTGCGTTTTTAGGCTGTATTTGGAAATAATGTAATTTTAAATGATGACATCATGATGACATCATAATTACACGAAAGGGGTCGTAATAATTGGAATTGCCCAAAAAGCCCGGTCTGAATAGGGTTAAATGTTCCATAGGCTTTGCACACATTCACATTAAAACAGCACACGTCTTTCCGGTTAGATATGTAAATCAACTTAGCTATTACTATTAAGATGTCTGTTTTATATGCTCCATAGGCTTTACACACATTTACACTCGTATGGTATTGATCATATTGAATATGCAAATTTAGTATGTATGTTCCACCAATGGGGTTACTACCTTACTAAAGTTCTTAAAGGACTGTAACCCTTTGTACTAAGGGCATGTCCTGACGCCACATGCATGTTACTTAAAGCTGAATCAATGCATAATAATCAAGTCGCACTTTTTGGTTGTGTCAAGGCACGTTTAAACAACTCTAATTTACTTGCCCAGATACATGGTCATGGGCACGGCCACGGCAATGCTGATGACGTACATGACAAGGCAGAGCCTGTCCAGGACCTTAGCTAGCAGGGTGTAGTCAGACACCTCCTGCTCGTTCTTCATGGCCTCGGCCAGCTCCTCCATGTTACGGGAGGCGGAGGACACAGCAACCTCCAGGCGTGAGACCGCGGCCTCCAGGCGCGTGGGCGGCGCGGGCGGCTGGCGGGCGGTCTCGCGGACATCACCCGGGATGTGCACGTCGACCACCGCCATGTCATCGGCAGGGGGGACGCGGTTGGTCCGCTTCTTGCTGCTGGAGCCAGTCTCTCCATCGTCGCTTCCAACCTTCTTCTCTGTCAGGTCTCCGAGCAGAAGGCACCTAAGGAGAAAAAAAGAGATGATGTGGATATTGTCTACGTTCACTCATATCTACAACTATATGCATGTCCAAACGTTCAGATCCCCTTTTCTTCAAAGAAGCACAAATGTTACAAAGATTTATACTAGGAAAGTTAGGGTGAATCTACCAAGAATCTTATATTACTGGTAATTAATGTGGAAGCAACTTGGGAGGGAAGCAGATGCAGACAAAAGTTGTCAAAAGTTGCTAATTGGATTCCATCGTATGAAAAATAAATATCGAATATTTCCTGATTTTCAGGTAGGTTGACTACATGTAATTTTTTTCTTAGCCGAAAGGTGTCAAGGCTTTGAATTATAACTTATATTAAATCAACATCTTAAAAACAAACAAACAAAATTAGAACCAACAATGAATATATACAAAGGGGTTCCACTATCGATGTATTTGGTTATTTCTGTGCATTGCTATTTAGTCTATCCTGAGATAATGTTCGGAGAAGTACGTACGTTGCCATGAAGCGGAGAAAGAAGGTCTTCGCCATTGGAGACAGGCTCCCCTCCCTGTCGTGAATGATGATAATGGCCAAGGTGAAGAAGAGGAAAAGTCCCATCAGCGCCATGCACACGACAATCAGCGTGGCTGTAACAGCATCCGTAAGAAACAGTTACCGACATGTTCCGGGAATATTTTTAATGGTTAACAGTTACCGACATGTTCCGGGAATATTTATCATGGTTAACAGTTACCGACATGTTCCTGGAATATTTATCATGGTTAACAGTTACCGACATGTTCCGGGAATATTTATCATGGTTAACAGTTACCGACATGTTCCGGGAATATTTATCATGGTTAACAGTAACCGACATGTTCTGATACCATGAAGAATTACTGACATATTCCGGGAGTACCATACATGGTAGACAGCTACTAGTACCATGATTGCCTAAGATTATATTATAAACGTTTACCTGAATGTTTTAAGAATAACAAATGAATTTTCGTAAAATTTACTTTTTGTAACGGAGTCATGTCAGGACATGCGAATGATACATGTAGCTAAAGGTTTACATAAATGTCGACCAGATAAATTCTACTTGGGTTGTAATGCAGGAGTTACATAATACAAAATAAATGGAATAAAAAAAGGCACTTTTGTCTCGAAGTAGTACTAAGGAAAACATTCAACTTGGTCATATCTATGTTTACTCACCGACAAATGGCAGCGCCCCCTTGACAGGAAGCACATCCGTCACGAACACTAGAGACACCACCATGGAGAGTTGAATGGTCACTCCGAACGAGATCCGGTCCCCCCTGTCCAGTGGCATGACGAATGTGATGACCATCAGCGCCACCAGGATGACGCAGGGTCCAATAGTAGTGGCGATGTGGAACAGCGGGATCCTCTCCAGCTGAACAGTGAAGCATGCCTCCGTCTTGTCTTTTGCGAAGAGCATGTCCTTCCGATACCATTCGCCCTCCAGTTGTTGAGCAGACAGGACGCCACAGCGAGTGCCAGCTTGACATTCTGTGTTCGATAAATCATTGCAACAAATTAGCAGCAAGGTAGTTTACGTTTTATTGACAAAGCTAGCCAAAAACAAAATCAGATTTTATACTGACAAGAATCCTATTTTCCTTTTCACATTGTATATGGGAAGGAACCCTTGGCATGCAATTAAATCACTGAAATATCATCATCATATGCATCAGTGGTAAACATTTACCAAAATAGTCCTGGAATGTTAAAGGAACTACGAATGGAATGTCTTTCGTGGTAAACAGTGGCCGGGATGCTCCGATAAAATCTTGTATTTTATTTAAATCATTTTTTATTCATTGAACTTTCTTCATGAAAATTATTTTGATATCGACATCTTTTCAAAAAAGTACTCCCGAATTCATACCGATGATTTCAGAAAATGCAGCAAAGCAGATGTTGCATTCCATGGTGTCTTCAGGGAAGTAGAAGGGGTCCGCATCACACATGGTGGTGGTCAGGGTTTCTACCTTCCAGGTTACCTGACCATTGCTACTGAGCCAAACCGGTACGTCCTTTGGTAGGCCTTGGTAGAGAGGATCAGCACTGTAGCGTAATCAACAGTTTTCGACAACTTAATTTACTGGTAAGATAACTATCATCTAGTGTGAAACTGATGGAACCATTTACATCATTGTATCCCAGCGTCATCAAAAATATTATCGGTCATTTTGTTTAAGGTAGAATCTTGTAATGTTTTACACTACATGATGGATTATTTCATTTACAGGGTACTTTAAATGCATCATACTGGCATACAGGGCTTTAAATCAGTGTAATGTTCTGTTCATTAATTATTTTACAATTAAAATGCTATTATCTGCAATTCAGGATATTTAAAAAACAACAGATCAGGCATGAGTCAATCTCGATTCAATGATAAGAGTTTTAGAAGACAGTACATACTTCCTCTTCAGAGTAAGTGTAGGGGTCCAGATCCTGCTACCCTGGACGCTGATAGTCGAGATGTTGTCGTAGTACTTTGGATCCCAGCTCAGCCGGCTGTCCTGCCATGTCTGGAGTAACAAGAAACAAATAAATTATAACTGAGTAGATTATAGCAAAGAAATATACAGCAAAATTATAGAAAAGCCCAAAAACCTCCTAAAAACGAGACATGATTATATGAATGTGATATTATCAAGTGCACAGATATTTAATAACTACGTGAACTTACAAAATGGATGACGACAGAGGAAACCAGCTGCTCCTTCTTTTCCTCCTGAAAGAAAAGTTACAGCATCGGTCAGTTATGTTTTGTTCCAAAGAACTATTTGCCATAAACCAACGAGAATTTAAAATGTGTTACAGATACTGAAACTCACCAGGTCGACGATCTGTTTTACAGATCCATTAAAGCTGATAACGGGCTGGATGTGGTTCTCAATCCGAGTAGGGGTCTCCGCCTCGGTAGGGTTCTCATCAGTCTCAGCACGGTTGTCAGTGTCGGTAGGGTTCCCAGTGCCGGTAGGGTTGTCAGTCTCGGTAGGGTTGTCAGTGTCGGTAAGGTTGTCAGTGTCGGTAGGGTTCCCAGTGCCGGTAGGGTTGTCAGTCTCGGTAGGGTTGTCAGTGTCGGTAGGGTTGTCAGTGTCGGTAGGGTTGTCAGTGTCGGTAGGGTTGTCAGTGTCGGTAGGGGTCTCTGCCTCTATGCGGCTCTCAGTCTTATCTGTCTCGTTAGGGTTGTCTGTCTGAGTACGGATCACCGACTGGGTACGGCTGTCAGGGTCAGGTGCCAGGTTGAGATTGTACACATCGAGCAGCTCGCCTTTCAGCCGTCCCTCGAAATTCACTGAGGAAGAGACAATACATAGCTATCATTAGGAAGATACAAATCAACATTTTTCTACTTTAACATTGATCATGATGGCATGTTTTGGCTTTACATTTGACATAAAAAGAAATTAAATGAAACTTTATAAGTTTGAAAGTTGTTCATGTGTTTGATGTGTTTTAGATTAAAAAGACTTTATTGTTTATTTAGTTTATTTAGCACCGTAAAATACATAAGGAATCCTAGAAAGGCATGCATGTACATTTGCTCGGGAGCAAATGCAGCAAATGGCTTCACGACATCCCCCTTACCAAAGATGGATCTGTCCCCCTCCCAACACACAGCCCTGCCCAATACTCAATTTGAAAAAAAGGGTCTTCTGGTAACTTCAGACTACTAGTATGTTATGGTCATTTATGGAACAATTCTATCATGTAGTTATATGTGTGCCTATGTTTGTGCATATTTTCAGTTTGGCAATAAACAGGACTTAACTATTCTTCTAAACTACATCAAATGATATTGTGCAAGTGTAGAAAATACAGGCTTATCCAGACCTAATAGTCATTCACCTGAACAACTGGGCTTGTTATCCTGCCATATGCCTCCTTCGACGCATCTCACTTCGGTAGGATACCCGGGCTTTATGTAGTACCCCTCGTTGCAGGTGAAGGCGATCCTCTCTCCCACGTTGTAGAACCTCTTCATAGGGCTTCTATTGCCGTAGTTAGGAGGACCGATGTCCCAGCAGCCTCTCGTATCTGAGTTGGCATAGGCAATGGTATGGTAAAGCAATCATCATTTTATAGAAAAGGACCAGAATCGAATTGTAGATCGGTATAAAAAAACAAAGAGACCCCCAAATATTTGGCATTGAACAGTACAACAAAGAGGTACCTTACAGCTTCACACATCTTTAGATCAATCCTACGTATTTTGATCTGGCATAAAAATAGTGTTAAGCACAGAGACAGAGAGGAATGCCTGTGACTTTGTCAGCACAATACCACTATTGAGTAAATATATACGGATTAGAGTTGTCTAGTATCTAAAATGTCTGAGTACCACGGAAATAAATCGGGATGGTCTCGGGAACAAGGTAAGGCTCTTACTGCAGGAAATCACGTCGCATTCCTGCTGGCTGCCATCTTCCACCAGACAAAATGGCTGCCCCAGACCGGTAGGGTTACGGCAGTAGTTGTTATCCATGTTAGCCCAGGGGTACGCGGCTGTGTAGAACCCTTCCTGCGCAGCGGACCACTTCACACACTCTGCCCCAGACTTGGCTGTACTCCGTTTCCCGCGGTAGTTCATGCCGCCACCGTGGTAGCAAACTGAGGAGGAAAAACGGCCATAAATCAGCAATTTATCCTATAAATTAACAAATTAACGCATCTCTAAATGCATGATTGTACTTAGATACCAGGGAATATATACATTTGAGTGATATGCCAATCACAAATGCTACTGCCAGTGGAAAGTCTTTTGTCTATTTTTCTCTTTACCTTCGCCGTTCCTAGTCGCTGGTTCAGGGTTCCAACAGCCGTGCTGTGGTGGTGGAAACAAGTCACAGGTAGGGAACAGCTTCTTCATCTGGGTATCAGCCATGTTCAGGACTTCCTCACACCACGAACGGCACGGTAGCAGTGGTTTGTTCCTAAATACACAGGCAAGTTTAGGAATATCAACATGAGGTTTTCTTACTTTTAAAAGACAAAAAATGCAATTAGGCACGAACGTTTACGTTCCATTAGAGTATAAATTAGCTTATTGCTAACCCTAACTGAGGATTTTTAAAACTTAGCAATACATGTACCAAAAAAATGTTATCATGATCAACGTAACGAAGCATGTTTTACTCACATGCACGAGGTCGCGTTGTCTGCATGATGATACAAAGAGCAGGTAGTGTCGTTCTCTTTGGGTACAGCACATCGCGGAAAAATCACTGTAGATGCGAATTCCCGGAACTCGGGGTGTCGGCTCTGTCCATTTGTGGGCGAACAGTTGAGCAGCTCCACGACAGATCTAGAGGAATTCTGTATCTCCTCAAACGTCGTCTGACCCAGCTGATTGGGTAACATTGTAAGTCTACCGCCGAGGTTGAAATCCACAGGAATCGGCAGGCACTCTGAATATTACAAAATAGCCATTGTACCATTCACATTCTTTAAACATCGACAGGAGGCACTGACAAAGATGTAAATATATCCGATGAGGTTTCTGTCCAAAATGCAAGTTCAGAAATGTTAAACACAGTTTTTAAGCACCAAGTGACCTTTGGCAGCATCAAGAAATCATCGGACTTTTACCATTCTATTCTTTTATTTCAATTTATTTTGTTGTTTACTTTCAATTTTTTCAGCATTAACGGCCACGACAAAACAAATAGTCAAGTCAACAGACTTTGGATAATAGAAGTTAGTATTGTGACAAAAAAACATAAATAGTGCTAGTAAATAATGCTTTTTATATCAAGACCTTCGTCCATTGGATATAAAATTTAATCTACAAGTAAGGTTATTGTACGAGCAACTGTTTGCATGTGAAAACTAAAAGGACTTTGTGAGAGCAGCTTACCACAACCGTCCTCGTCACTCCCGTCCGAACAGTCCGTCCTCCCGTCACACCGCCTCCAGGTCAGGGTGCAGGCATGTCCGTGTCCGCACCGGAAGTACCCGAGGGGGCAGCGGATCGCTGTGTGGCCTGTTAGGTAGTACGGTAACATTTGCAATGTTCACCGTAACATGGTCCAGCCAAACTATTGCTCTATATATTTTGACTTATAACAACGAGGTTCAGGTTGATATAGTGACCAGGCCTCAAGCGTGACCCGTCATATTGTTACATAGTTTATTCCAACACCTTATATGGTGTCCAGTCCCAGGAGGCCGGTCCTGCCACTTTGCTACATCAATCTAACCAAACACAGGCATCATTGTAAAACACATTCAGGTTGACAGGTTCAAGGATCACTGTAAGACAGTTGTGACAACCATGCGGTCCGGGTCATTGATATTGATCAAGTTGGAGCTGAGGAAACGGATCAAAGCTACTAACTTGCGGAGGTAAAGTTAACATAAATTTGACATACCGTTCTTCAGCTGGCAGATGAAGTTGAATGCGGACGAGCACGGCGCGTCGTTCCATCCGGCCCCGAGGTGGTTGACACAGCCTTCTCCGTTACTGTTGGGTTCCCCCGGCTGCCACCCAGTCCAGTCTGCGGTTGGGCTGAAGGGAGTCCCATCTTCCCACGCCCACTCTCCTTCTCCGTTCTGATTGTTCAGGCCGAACCAGAAAGGATCCAGGGCGTTCTTGAGGTCCATCAAGAAACCGTCTACGTCTATGTCCTTTGGCATGGCGAGGAGCCCCCCGTCCGCTGCACACACCTGTCTGGCCTGACTGTAGGTTTTTTCTTGGTTGTACGCCTTGAAGCACGAACCTCCATGTGCGGTGTAACCCGATGGACAACCTAGTACAGAAATATTAAATCATCGTAAAAATTAAATTCATCATGTTTTTAACAAGCTAGTTTATGACTTTATAAAGAACTGGTATCCTCTAAGTACATTTTCCTTTAGACTCGACGTCTTCTTCTTGATTCACCAGTCACTGTTAAACTCTCCCACTGAGGCTCGACTGGAGCTATGTGATTTTGAATCGTTTTCCATTGATGTTGACTGACAGAGACAGAAATTAGCACAGTATTGGGTCTTTTGACAAACGAACACTTTGCCGAGTCTTTATTAACTACTTACTGCCTTGCAACAGTGCAGTGACCGGAGTTGTGCTTTGCACTACAGTAGCAGGTGTGCTGACTGGAGTTGTGGTTCGCTCCACAGTCACATGTGTGCTGACTGGAGTTGTGGTTCGCTCCACAGTCACATGTGTGCTGACTGGAGTTGTGGTTCGCTCCACAGTTGTTGGTGATGGAGTTGTAGGGATCACTGTGATGTTTGAACAGAAAGCCGAGCAGTTCAACTGTGCATCCTATTTACCAAAACACAACTATAGTCCCAACCAGTACTTACGTCTGCACGAAACAAATGAGAGCTAAGTGCAAGCAGACTTTTAATATGATGTTGACACCACGATATGTATAATATGTACCAAAGACGATAATTGCTAATCTTAGGATGCACTTCTTACGCTTCTTCATTCTGACACAATGACACGTTCTTATACCTGTTCATGGCCAGACCCTGCAGCCTACAGAATAGATCTAGAGATAGAAAAACTGTGAAACCTGTCTAAGTATGTACTTACCAGTAGTGACGCCAGGAGGCGCTGCCGTGGACAGACAGATGCCCCATGGCCATGACAGACCCTCCACCAGGACAGTCTTGGTCAAGTTTGACTTGGATAACCTGGGGGATTGAAACAGAGCAACTTATTGTGTCTGCTCAAGTATGAATATACATATGCATACGCCTAAATTATATCCATATGTATGTATGTATGTATATATCTATGTACAGTATGTGCGTGTGTGTGTGTTCCTGTCTTGTGTGCTCTTATGTCTATGTGTGTTTGTGCGTGTCTACATGGATATCTGTGTGTGTGTGTGTGTGTGTGTGTGTGTGTGTGTGTGTGTGTGTGTGTGCGTGTGTGCGTGTGCGCGTGGGGGGGGGGGCGGACGAACGATGTAATGATGGTTTTCGTACAATAATTCTATCAGTTAGTTACAGTAGTCTAACTGCAATGTAATAATACGTTGGTTAGATTACTCATTTCACCAGGGCGAAACATACCACCAACATCAAACACGACTGTAACGAACAAGAAATAGCTAAAGGTTTAAAAAAAAACTAAAGGTCCATACACAGGCTGAAGGATTCGCAATTATACGTACGGAACATTCTTCGAAAGCTAGGTACAGCCCTTACATATCCAGTCTGAGCAGGTGTTGCAAGCATTGAACTAGCTTTAAAAAATATGGAACCTTATAAAACCTTTTTTCACTCAGGAAGATCGAGAACATCAAATGTAGTATCATTGTGGACAGGACATAAGATTTGAAAGAACAAAAAATTAATAAAAGAATGACAATGACAAGTGAACGCAGATACACCAATCACATCACAAAGCACCAATGAATCATCTAACCTTAGTCTAATCATTTTAACGTTGAGGTTCAACAGAAGATTTTGACAACATGTTTTCTCGATTGCCTGTTTTTAATGTTTCACTTAGTACCTGGATAGTCTATTCAACAAATCAATAACACACAAAACACCAACCCTTCGTGCAACAAACCAAGGAGGTTAAAATATACACGGATTTAAAGCTCCTTGAACAGGCAAACTAAACAGCCATCTTGTGGATCTTGTCGTCCCCTTGTTTCCAGTTTTAAGACAAGCTATAGCTACCAACTTTAACTTTTCCATTTTTCGACAAATCACAAAAGTAAAAATGGAAAAAAAATAGCTAGTAGTTATACTACCTAGTAGTTATATCATATCTAAGATTTAAGATATAATTGTGTTCACATGTGAGCACATGCCGATATGAGTTAGAAGAAAAAATATTTAAAACATCAAGCTTGGCTATATTGCTCCTAGTTCATTCTTATTAACGAATAAAAGAATGAACTTTTTTCTGTTGATAGAAAAAACATTTAAAACATCATGAACAGTTAAGACAGCTGTTCTTTATAGTTTGCTCCAAATAATGTCTTTTATATGCAAATGAACAAAGGCGTTTACTTCTCGGTACCAAGACCACATGACTGACGGCTACCTTTAAAGAAATTCCTTATTAATTAGGGAATGTATTAGTGCAAATTTTGACACCCTTTCAAAGCGATCAAAGTATTTACACAAATGCCTCCGCCCCTGAGGCGTTGCCAAAAACAAACAATAAAAGTAGAAATCCTCTTAAACGTACATGCAGTGAAACATACCTTTTTGGTCATCCTTTCATGTTACTAAACTGTGATCAAAATATAAAGCAAAAGGTATGTTTTCAATAGCTTCCAGACAACCGAATGTACCCCATGTGGCAACGCACATCAGGTGCGGGGATTCCGTGTTATATTCAAGTTAGTTTACCGGAATAACTATCCGAGAATTTTTGTATACTTAATTGGGGCGTGGAAGTCCTGGGTCATTTGATTCTACGGAATCCCGCCTCGAAAAGATCCGCTATTACTGACCAGTATTGGGTCCGCGGCGCTGGGGATTAAATTTGTGCTTCATACTTCTGAGTTGGTACAAAACTAACTTGTAGGTAACCTTGATATAATCCAACTTAACAAACATAAATCATGTTTCCAAAATAAATCATATAACTTAACACAACATCGAGCAGAAGAACATAACTTCAGCAGGGTAATTTGTATAATTAACATCTACTAGATAAATCAGATTTTCTTACATTCCAACTTTCCCTTGATATGATGAATCATACCAAGTAGACGACCAGTAGACGTAGTTCTCGTCAACAGCAATCCCCTCCACATCCTTCCCGTCTTCATACAGCAGTTGTTGGATATCGTTACCCAGCAGGTCTGAGCTGTACATGCGGTCATCATCAGAGTAGTACAGCCGGTTCTCTAAATGGGAGGAATAAACGAAGGATTTATGCACCTATCAATGTGAATACTGCGACTGTTGAGTAAGATTACACAGAGGGTAGACATGCACATAGATAATATCCTACATGTGATACATATTTATTTAATATCTTCATAATCGACTACCACTCCTTATCATACATATTGTCACAATACAATGAACGCGTTTCAAAATGTTCCTTTTTGATTAATAATTCTTTTGTGTATGAATTCGTATATTAGTACATTATCTCTTGCCGTGTTGTTTTCTCACCTCTATAGTCTATTGTAACGGCGCGGGGATTATTCACGCCCGTGATGATGGTGGTTGGGTTACTGCCGTCCATCTCAGCACGGTCAATTCTGGCATTACTCTCGTCCGCCCAGTACATGAGTCTGTGAAAGGAGTCAAGCAAACAAAACCTCTTTCGAAATTTTCATATATGTTTTTAATTTGTGATTTATTGTACAGTATTATTAGTATAATGATTATTACCATAGATAATATAGTTTAATGAAAATGATAGTATAACCCACATAATCACTTTGATGGTCTCATCTGCCTAATGAACATATATAGCAAAATAATAGGTCACAACAAAACGATTTGATAGGAAAGTAATATGATATTCTAGGTGTCCAAAACACCGTCCCAAGGTTTATTATCAGTAGGGTCTTGATGAAAGTTTTCAAAACGAACGTTTGCACTATGACGTCTATAAAACGGTTGAATGGTAAAATGCATCGAGCTTACAAACGTAAACGTATGCAGCCCTGTCCCAGAATCACATATGTGTAAAATGCCTTATTGCCTTCGATCGAAGGCTATGCCTTCGGAGAAGGCTATGAAATCGCTTTTGCACTGTTTGGCAGATTATGCACGATAACTCTCGAAGGTAGGTCCAATGTTCACGATTTTTGGCAGGCAGGTTGTTTTTTGGGGTGGCCATTGTCATGGCCAAAAATGGGCTTCATGGGGGGTTCCTACGTCACTGTAGTTGACCTTGGTTTTTGGTGTTTTTTCCTTGTGTACAAGATATCTCAAGTATTCTTGAATGGATGTTCATGATTTTAGTGGGCAAGTTACCGTTGAGAATGCCGAGGTCAAGTTCAAAGATGGGCCCCGTGGGGGTTTCTATGTCACTGCAGTTGACCTTTGTTTTTTGTGTTTTGTCTTGTGTACAAGATAACTCGAGAATCTTTAAATTGATGTTCATGTTTGATAGTTGGCAAGTTACCATTGACAATACCAAGGTCGAGTTCGGATATGGGCTTCGTGGGGGGTCCCCACGTCATTGAATTAGAAATTACTGCAGCGAAACTGGTTTTTAAATCTCGTGATCTGGACGTGCTAGGGTCATGATTTTTAGATGGTAGGTAGCTCTCGTGCTCACAAAAAAGTGCCATAAGTTTGGGCCACGTAGCAGGTTTTTTTGGGAAATGCAGAGGCATTTGTTTGAAAATGTTTGAAGTAGGATAGCTCAAGAAACGGTTGACGGATTGTTGTTATATTTGGTATGTCGGTAGCTTAAGTGATGCTTGACCTAATTAGATGACAATTATGCAATTCAAGATCTAATTTACATAATTAATGACAAAAGTCTATAAATCTGCTGCGTTCCATGATAGAACAATTAAAATGGTGGTATATTTAATCAAGAGGAAGAGATATTAATTATGTAAATTGTAACCCAATTTGATTAATTAATAAGAGAAATCTATATGTCTTTCATAGTGCAGTAGACCTTTTTGGCTTCCACCCTTTGCGGATTACATTGATGCCCACAAGGATAGTTAGAAAAAAATTCCTGTTTGTTATAGAACAACAGAACCATTGTGAAATTGGCGAAAGTGGCGCTGAATCTGCCTATTTTGGGTATTACTGTGGACAAGGACCATGTGGATGCCCTATTACAAACTCATCAGTGTCATGCTGAACAAACAAAGACCCTCAGGATCCCCAGGACACCAGCTACTGGGACACAACATTGCTTGGCTGTGTTCTTTTGGCACAAGGCAGTGATGTTGTTCCTCTCCGGCCCTTGTGTAAACACAGATGTGGAAGTGGGTCAAATCGTTTATCTTTATATCATCTGGGGCAGGCAAGCAGTTTTGATAGCTCATGATGTAAACAGGCTGGGGTCACAAATTTTTGGTGTCAATAAGGCCTAATTTGCATAAATAATGAGAAAAATGCTATAAATAGTATAATGCAATAGTGGTGACTGACAGGAATTTCACTCTGGCTGCATTTGGAAGTTAAGTGAAGGTGATCATTATTAAACATAATTTATTTAAATCAGAACCTTATTTGCTTGATTTATGAGGAAATGCTAGAATAGCCCTCTTTGACTGTCATTGGATGAAAAATATGATCAAAGGATATAGTTGCAAGTGAGGATATTATTTCCATAAACGACGTGAAACATTCATAAGTTGTCAGTCGTAAAGGTTAACATCATTTGTCGAAGGCATGAGGTCGTGGAACTCTAGTTTTAAATGTGTTTTACTCACCCATTTCTGGGGTCCAGGACCAGGCCAAGAGGCTGGTTGACGGCTGGTGACGTCAGAAGTGTTCTATTTGACGATCCATCCATCTTTGCTACAGAGATGGTGTTTTCATAATACTCAGTCCAGTAGATATCCCCTCTAGCATGGTCCAACGCCTGGCCATCGACATCTGCATAAAAAGTTTTGAACGTTTTGAGAAATATTTGAAAATGCAGAAGTCAAGAAGCTTTGAAACACTATACAATAGAAAATTCTTATATCCGGAACAGATCACGACAACTTCGCAGTGAACACCGTTAGATTTCCCAATAATGTCGGGGTTACACCAACAAACACGTCGTTATTGGCTCCCGATCCAATCTGAGATATCCTAAACATGTCTCGGACAAAATATCCAGTCTTTAATATCCCGATAAGGATTAACATTATAGCGGGAAGTCATGTTTACAGTTACTCCAGATATCTGTTAGGAATAACGATCTGTTTTTTTATTCAACATCTCAAATCTCAAATCTATCTATAAATGCAAAACAAAACACAGACGTGAAAAAAAAACAAAGAACTGTTTAACTTTTTAGCCATTCTCTTGGGCTACATTTGGTAGACAGTTGTGATCTGTCCATACCGCTGTTTTGGTTGTATAATTACACAGTTACATGTATCATAGTTTACTGTAAAAACAAGCATCGTTAACCCTATCTAGACCGGGGGGGGGCTAAAAGTGCCCGCGCCAACTTTGATGTCACATAGCGTCTGAATGGCTAGGGCTAGAATGACCAAACTTGGTGACTTTTCCTAAAATATTGTTGGCAACAATTTTCTATCATTGGAATAAGATAATAATTTTTTGTGTTGCCATGGCAACGGGTTTCTGACAGGCATTTTTTGCTAAATTTAGTAATTTTGTTTCAAGAATAGAATTTTATGGGTTTTATGTCAAGTTACTCATGGTTTCTAATATTAATAACATCCCATATGAATTTATGTTAATTTTATCATTAAATATGCATAATTTATGCTAATTTGATGACGTCATTGGCCAAAATCCAAGATGGCGGACCATATCATTAGAACAGGTATATACAAGTTATTTTCCTTAAAATTTCATCAATACTTCCATTTCTTTTCCAAAAAAGGTTTAAATGAAGGTCTTTGGTATGTTTACAATGTATTTTAGGCTTTATCACGAAAAAAAAATATTTTTGAAAATTCAACATTGATGATCCAAGATGGCGGATATCTTAAATATGTATGACGTCATTTTATGACGTCACCGGTGTTGCTATGAGCAACATAAGACTTAGTACACTCTAATATTCTGTCATAAACACTTTTGGTAAAGTTATGTTGAATACTATTTAGTTTTCAGGGAATAGCCTATCTAGACTGTTTTGGACAATAAAATCCCATTAATGACGTCATAATGACGTCATATTACGTCATAATGACAAAAAAATTGTAGATATGATAAATTTTAACTAGTACACCATCCTCTGAAAATTTGGTAGCCATACGACATACCGTTAGCGAGGTCTGAGGGGGGGCCGAAAGACGCCCCCCCCCCCGGTCAAATCTTGCTCAAAAAAGCCCGGTCTAGATAGGGTTAAGATGTAAAGTTTGGAACGAAAAAAAAGAAACCTGGTACAGGTACATGTACTACAAAAACCTCCGCCAGTATGTTACATTTTCCTAATCATGTATGCAAATGATTCTCTGATGGACTTTTCCAATGGAAAACCGTATAAGACCCGCCACCTGTTCTATTTAGAACCATTGGCAGGTCAGTCTCAGAAGTTCTATTTAGAACCATTGGCAGGTCAGTCTCAGAAGTTCTATTTAGAACCATTGGCGAGTCAGTCTCAGAAGTTCCATTTAGAACCATTGGCGGGTCAGTCTCAGAAGTTCTATTTAGAACCATTGGCGAGTCAGTCTCAGAAGTTCTATTTAGAACCATTGGCAGGTCAGTCTCAGAAGTTCTATTTAGAACCATTGGCGGGTCAGTCAAGTTCTATTTAGAATACCTCGGTCAAAATCAGCACAGGAAAGGTCGCGCCGGTGTTCTGAACTTTGGGTTCTAGTGAGAATCGGGCTGGGTATAATGTGTATGTGCGTGTGTCTCTCTGTGTGTGTGTTTTTGTCAATGTGTGTGTGTATCTTTGTGTGTGTGCGCGCGCGCGCGTGTGTGTGTGTGTGTTTGCGTGTGTATGAGTGTGTGTTTGTGTGTGTGTGTGTGTGTGTGTGTGTGTGTGTGTGTGTGTTTAAAGCCAAATGTTGTAAAAAACGTAAACACAATACGAAAATTAATGCTTTAGTGGATAATTCTGCAGTCTCATTTATACCAGAAACTTAAATATTATATAATAAGTTCTAGCTAGCCTGATTTTTGCTGTCAGATCAACAAACCTTAGGGAGAAAATCATGACCCTCTGGAACGATATTTCCTGCATTTTGAGGGGCAAATGTTCCTGGTAGACTTAGTTTAATGACGTCTCTTTCTTTACAGATGCTTGCTAGAATACTGTATGTAATACCGTAAATTGCCGAATAAAGTACGCACTTTTTAAACTCTTAAAAATCCCAAAAGTGTTTTGGGCCGTTGCCAAAGTCGGGTGCGTACTTTATTAGAGGTTTTCCCTTTAACATTCCGACGCCGACCCAGGAACACTGGCACAGAGAGCTTGGTACGACATCGATTCGTCCATAGCATGTTTAGATATGAATATTGAGTGGAAATAAAACTAAACTTAAATACTGAACACATTTCTTCTGAATATCGTCGATATTGACAACAAGTTGCCGGGTAAATGAAGGTCAAGTCAGTGAGTGTGAGTGTGAATGTGAATGTGTGTGTGTGTGTGTGTGTAACGTGAACACAATCGGCTATTCCGAGATCAGGGTGCGCCAATGGCATTGTGCATCGTTATGTCATTCTTACTCTGTATTTATCGCATTTTGTTGACATTTATCAAACTTGTTATACTAATACAGTTATTTTCCAGACAATCAGGAAGAGATTTGGTGTTAAGATGTTCAAAACTTATGCTATGGCCAATTTAAGACCAGAAATTGGCATAAAATCTACGTTACGCTGTTGCACTTGAAAAATGCCAGTTTTTTAAATAAGCTTTTAAGTAATTTGGGACCAAAAAATGGAATAAAAAGATTTGCAATATGTTCAGACATGCTCAGTCTGATATGTTTTGCACAAAACCTGATATTGATTGGAAATTTCTCTTTTCTAAAACGCATTTATCAATGTGTCGTACACGTTATGTAAACTGCAGAAATTAACACACTGCAATTAACTTATCTCCCTGTATTAAAAAAGATGGTGATAGAATTGGCCATTTTGCATGTTATGCAAGGTACATCCATATATGACACAAAACATGTGTTTTTATGTTGCTTGTCCTTTGGGTTAATATGGCTAATGGCTTACAGTTACCTTTCTTTTTTGTCAGAGAAAATGTGTAGTGTCCATTGCTCGGTAATAACTTAAAATAGAAAAGCTGTGGTGCATATGATTTCAGGTTCTGAAACAGCTAAAGATGCTGACTTAAGATACAGTAGCCATTTCAGTCTATTGCTGTAATTATATGAAATAATGTCAAAAAAACCTCAAGGGTGTAGTGTCCGTTGCCATGTAGTGTCCGTTGCTAAGTATACTATGTAGGTACATTTATTACATTTTGTTGCAATTTTGAAGTAATTTTGTCATTTATGTTATTACTGTAGTATTTTGTCAACCCCTAAATGACAGGTATCTCGAGATTGAAATATCTTGTCATGTACTTGAGCTGTAGTGTCCGTTGCCGGCCAAATCTGAAACGAATAAGCCAATTTCGGAAGTGCACAACTTTTGAACCAAACGTCTCTATCCAAAAATTTAAAAAGTGCAATGTATGGCAACACTTCTAGTGTTATTTTCTGCACTGAAAGTAGAAAAATATAAAACTTGAAAAATTGGCCAAAGTGCAACCCATTGGCGCACCCTGATCTCGGAATAGCCGAATGAGAAAATTAGCCGGGTCGTTACATCTGCTTGAGGACTATATTTATTTATTTGTTTATTTTTGTTTATTTGTTTATTAGATCTCCATTAGTGGTAAAAACCACTAATCTTCCTGGAGTCCACATAAAATCTAAAATTATAACAACAGAAATGTACAGAAATCAACACAATATTAACATAAATTGAATAAAGTAATCAACATAATTAAGTAACATAAGCTGGGTTTGAAATCAAAGTGATCACTAACATTAAATAAAGTAATATAATTAAGTAATATATGGTGAGCATGAACTCAAAGTAATAATGAAAATAATGTAGGCAACTATGAAACAAATTTACAACAATTATCTCTTGGTTTAACCCTATCTAGACCGGGGGGGGGGCTAAAAGTGCCCGCGCCAACTTTGATGTCGGATAGCGTCCGAACGACTTGCACTAAAACCACCAAACTTGGTGACTTTTCATAAAATATTGTTGGCAACAATTTTGAATTAGTGGAATTAGAAAATTATTTTTTGTGTTGCCATGGCAACGGGTTTCTGACGGGCATTTTTGGCTAAATTTAGTAATTTTCGTTTCAACAATAGAATTGTCAAGTTACACATGGTTTCTAATATTAATAATATCTCATATAATTTTATGTAAATTCCATCATTAAATATGTATAATTTATGCTAATTTGATGACGTCACTGGCCAAAATCCAAGATGGCGGACAACATCATTAGATAAGGTATAAACAGGTTATTTTCCTTAAAATTTCATCATTACTTCTATTTCTTTTTACAAAAAAGGTTCATTTGAACGTCTTAAGTCTATATTCAATGTATTTTAGCCTTTACCTTGGAAAAAAAATATTTTCAAAATTCGAGTTTTATAATCCAAGAGGGCGGATAGCTTAAATATGCATGACGTCATTTTATGACGTCACTGGTGTTGCTATGGGGAACATAAGTCTTAGTACACCCTAATATTCTATTATGAACGCTTTCTGTTAAAGTCACGTTGTATACCATTGCCTTTTTAGGGAATAACCTATCTATACAGTTTTGGCCAATAAAATCACATTAATGACGTCATAATGACGTCATATTACGTCATAACACCATCAAAATTGTACTTATGATAAATTTTTACCAGTACACCATTCTCTAAAAATTTGGTGGTCATACGATATACCGTTGGCGAGTTCAGAGGGGGGGCGAATCGAGCCCCCCCCCCGGGCCCACGAAGCCCAAAAAAGCCCGGTCTAGATAGGGTTAACAGAAAATTGATGATGCAACTCAAAACAGAGTGGGAGAGGTTTTGATACATATCATCTCTGTAAGACCACACATTAACATGCAGTGTTGCGTTTTGCAAAAATTGTCCCCAATTGCAATGAAAACATCATAATATATAACTCACAGCTGATGTTTAAGATGGTCTCCCTGCCACTTCCATCACGACGAGCCCGGTGGATTTTTTGCCTGTCATCTGACCAGTACACGTAGTCCGTGAGCGGGTCGTAGTCCAGGGTTCTGGGCGCTCCTACATCTCCGAGCGGAAGCGTGGTGGTCGATCCGGAAGTGATGTTAACTTGAAGAATGATATTTCTATTCTTGTCAGCAACCAATAGGAACGGCTCACTGATGTTACTGGAGCCGGGGTCTCCTAAGGTGGAGGAAATAACCAGAGTATTAACTATTTACCCTGTATTTTTTTTAACTTAGTGGTCGCCACGTAACACAGCCGTTTATAGGCCACTTCAAGGTGAGCGGTACTAACCACCTGAATGGTATGATCCGCTAACCTAGGTTACGGGTTACCGAGTAGAACTGTAACAGCAACTCTTCTCCCTGAGTCAGAAACATCATGATTGAGACCAGCCCAACTCACAAGTAGTGAGGAATAACTGACCCAATAGGAAAAGCAGGGGTTACAAAGGCTGGTCAGAAAAATTCCCTACACCATTTTTAGACCATAATTGTTTGTTCCACTTCCACTCTCGTGGGTTCTTTAACGTGCTTGAGGTGTGTCTCTCCTCAAACACGGGACCTCAATTTAACGTCCCATCCGATAAGACGTCCCAAACCAAAGCTAGGTACTCACTTTCACCTGAGTAAAGTGAGGAAAGTCGTGTAAAGTACCTTTCCCAATGGCACGACGTCGGAGCGCATGTTCGGACTTGTTCGGGTACGACCCAAAATCAAACCCGGGTCTCCCCATTTCATAGTCCAGTGATCTACCAATACACCACACGACGCCACATGATATACTGTATACCAACGCCATGCTAGTTTTAGAGCAGATATAGTAAGTTAAATAAGCAGACCGTAAAAGTAGAACTCCGATCCGTGTTTGCATAATTGTAGTCTTGATTCACCACATTCTGTATTCATTGCTTTTGTCTGTTTGCAATTAGCTCTCGGGAACGAACTTGCAATAAAGAACTCAATTATAAACAGGTTTTTCCGAACGATCGTGCGATGTCTTAAACTATTATCTTCTTTCATACTTTCATAAACTATTTGCTAATTAACAACGATCGCCATCAATAATGGGTGAAATATGGCGTGGTAATTACGCCCATTTACTGCCATTATTTGGAACCCTGGACCCGGAACCTTCCGATCTCGGCCAGGCAGCGTCACAATGGAGCAATTAAAAAAATAACCGTTTTGTTAGACACCGCTTTTAACAGTTTAAACAGTTATAGTGGTAAGAAAAATCTGTCTGGACCTCGACTATGGATATAGAGATGCATGAAATACTTCTTAGGCTATCTCTGCACACCACCGGGAAAAAATAAGAAGACCGCGATACTAAGGAACCTTGAAGCTAAAATAAGTTCAAACTTGAAAAAAACAAGTTTCGCCTTAGTGGAAGGCTTGAAGAAATTCATTTTAGTGTAACAAAAACTCAGTTTAAGGCATAATAAATTATGAAACAAATTATATCTAAGTCAAATTAAGAGGTTATATGAGGCATTATTCATTCTAAGAAATTAGGACACACACGGCGATCTATACACGCAGTTTTCTTGTGTTGGTTTTCACATATTGTCCAGTTCTTACCACATCGGGAATTGGACTTCGCGAGTCTGGATATGACTCATACAGAACAGAATATTTTGCGTCCACACCTGGCTAAATCCTGCTAAAGAATCCAACAGGATATGCAAAACTTGGTATGAACGGGGTCTAAGTGTATCCCGAAGTCCATTAAAATGTTTTGTGTACATGACTCCCCTTTTGTGTATTTTGTTTGTAGAAATAGCGTGAACCCCTGATACATTTGGGTGTTTATCAGTAAATCAGAGAAGCACGCCGATGGACGCCAATAGAGTGTTAAGTAAACGTTGCACAATGTTGTTGTAAAAAAAAGCTTATGATAATAAACTAGAGACTTGTCCACGCGCGATCATCTGTAGCGCGTTCTGTTTTGGGTGCCAGATTATAAACTCAGCCCAGCAGTGCACACTACTGCAAGGCTTTTATTCATTCGTGGGAATCATAAGTGACCATGACCAGTTTGTTCGTTTAACTAAGAGATATTGTAATGCTTCTTAGTATTTTTCCGATGTATCTGTTTCTATCACTCGCCTCTGCCCGTAGCATCACGGGTGTGGCTCACATAGTACCGCAAACCGGTCGGATGCATAATGCCTATTGGAGACTAGTAGGCAAGGCGAGCTGTGGAAACGGTCTGTCACCTTCCTAATGGCAGCACTGACTTGTCCTACTTCACACTGCAGCTAGGTGTCGCTGCTGCAGTCCCAAACGTATTGTCATATGATGGCATCCGCCCCAGACCCTTCCGATTGATGGGCAAAGGTCAGTAATAGACGCAGGCGCAGAGGGCCCAGTTTTGGTAGAGATGGCAGTGTAATGTTAAGTGTGAAGAAGTCATTTTGTAGGGAAATGTTGTGGTTTTGGACTTGTATGTTATAGGTAAGGGTTGTAGTATTTTAATTTTGTTGAAAAAACAGACTTGCAGCCATGTTGGTGTTGTCTACCACGCTGAAGAATATATAGGTTTACATGCTGTCATCACCTGTCCAGAGGGGTGGGCCACTTCTCAATGTACAGGTAGAATTCCCGCATGGTTTAGCTGCGTAGAATTTTTTATTTATTTTTGGTGAATGGAGACTTGAGAGGTTGGGCGACTGTACCAATGTATGTTTCTAAAGATCTAAAACTCAGGTGTATGGATTTTGACCACGTGGTTTTGACATAATTCCCATATATTAACATAGGAAGGCCCTCTTATTGGCCTTTGCCCTGATCCCCGTCAGGCATAGCAACAGGGAGTAACTTTCATGAAATAAAGACTGAACTTTCCTTCCAAAACTTACATGAACTGGATCTTACCCCAAATTCTTTCAAGTCTTGGACGGAAAGTTTAGTCTTTATTTCATAATGACTTGTACTAAAACAGATGAACTTCCATGCTAAGGGAACATTTTTCGTTCGTTTAAAAAATGAAACATTAATTTCCCGAATACATATACAGATACTATGATTAGAATTATTTAAGAAATTTGTGTACTCGGACAAAATAAAACTATGACAAAATAATACTAATAAAAGTTTGGAGTAAACAGCTAATTTTGTAGGAGGTGGGGGCTAAATGGCTAGGGGGGCGAGGTGGAGGGACCACATCACTAGCGATTTTGCCCTGGGGAGGGCGGAATTGCCAGAGATCTCGGGGGCGAGATCCCTTGGACACCTGTCAGTCACTATGATCTCTGCGTCAGTACGGCTGAGCCGTTGTTACAGAACCTCAGGCGGCTTTTATCACGCCCATTCTTAAAAGTTATGTCAAGCTAGGATAACGCCTTTAACAAAATTATTCTGCAAAAATTCGCGGACTCGGTCACTGCCCGTGTGGACAATACACGCCTATGAGTCATGTTTTTAATGTTGAAATGGAAATTATTTGGACGTCTCTATTATCTTTCTTATTGACTGCAAATACCCGTGCTCCTAGCACAGTTCATCGCTTCTTTGGATTTCAAAAGAGGATCGCACAAAAATCGTACGGCGAATTGCTTTCTATCGAGTATTGGAACTTTTGTATCGTCGTTGCCTTTGACTGTGGGTTCTTTTCCAACAGTATACTGTCTCCGGCAAAGGGTTTTACGCGTACAGGTAGGAAACTGATTCCTCTGGGTTCCCTTTGTTGCCATCAATGTAGGTCAATAAAAATTTAACATCTAGATATCGAAAAAAATTGAAGCATTAATGGAGGGCCCCGCAGTTAAATCTGCAAGACATTAAGGACAATCTGTGTAAAAAGCATTCAAGTAAAGACAACAACACTTTAATGTTCACCACGCACCACTTCTGTAGCCCTTGTCTATGTAACCTGACTTCTCTTCAATGTTGGTGAATCTACAACATCCGTCATATGACTTTGTTATTGTTTCAACTAATTGTTTTAACAAATTATTTCTTTTCTAGTATCATTGATGATTGACCATGTCATGACAGATATGGTATGCTAATGTTTTTAAATCTTTCGGTTCTAGTTCTAATTAATTGTGTCCAGATCGTTGTAATGTCTCGTGTGTCCGTCACTTGTTTCCGAAAGCTTCCTTAAAATGCATTATTAAAATACAGAAATCGTCTCAGACACAACAAGTTCACACGCACGCTTACATGGACAATGCGGAATTAGGGGTAGGTCGGAATTAGGGCACCCCCTGTTAGTATCTTTTGTGGTTGATCAGTTCTGCTAACTTTATTAGGCTAACGTAAAGGTGTATTTCACTTGTGGATATTCTACCGGCAATATACGTGACTTCTTCGCGGAATTCTTAGCTTCAATGGGACTTCAACTTTCTACTATAGCTCATCGTGTTCCAGCGTTTCCCACCATTTCAGGCTAACGTTGTTCTTACACAACATTTCTGTGTATTTATTTTGGCCTAGCGCTTAGGAAAATTGTGACGGTAAAAGATTTTTTTTTTATTTTTTTTATTCAATGTATTATTACTATTTTTCCTGGTGCATTTGGTTGAGAGTTTACCGCTATATATAAAAACGTAACTTACTTGGTAACATGGACGAGACAAAACTGTAAGCAATTGTAAGCTACGTACCTACGAAAAGCAAAATAATCTAAACCAATGATGATATTTTCATAATGCGCCATGACAAAAAACAGGGAAAACGCCCGGTTTAGGTGGACTTACGTTTGACGATAAATTACTCAAAATTAAATAAATTACTCAATAAATTACTCAAGACTGAGACAGAAACAGAAAACATTCCTGGCTTACTAATATAACTTGAATTTAGAAAAGCCTTCCACTCGGTAGATACGAAATCCTTATTAAAAGTGCAGGAAAAATTAAACTGAAAAATAAATCTACATCGGTTTTTGACTCAGAATTTGACTACAACAAACTGACCCGAACCTTCAACGGAAAAGCCTCTACGACCTTCAAACATTAGTACATCGGGAGTCTGGGACACAATGAGAACAGCTAATATAAAAGGAAAAATGTCTAAAACATGTCTATCGCTAAATGTTTGTACCGAGTGACCTGTCTCAATATTTTACATGGTTTATACACATAGTGACCATGTAAGATTACTTTTAGGATAGGAAACCGCATCTGTATTAATGATTCTCTTTATATAATCTACGTACTAGGATAGAGTAAA